TCTCAACCTTAATTTTCTCTCTCTCTCTCTCTCTCTCTCTCATAATTTCCTTCAAAAACTTTTTATTTCCCCACATTTCATTGGCATAATTTAAAATAATGTAAGTTTCTATAACAATCCCTATTTCAAAAATGTTGTCGTAGTTGTTTTTACATGCCCTGTAAATATTTCATAATTTCTTCTTTCGTCTTCTTGTTCATGTTCAGATGTTCTTTGCATTTCAGCAGCTGTTAATAGAACTTTGAAAATAACGACGTCGACATGCGACAGCAGTAGCAACAATAACTGAATAAAAAAGAAAAAAACAAAACTGAAAAACAATCAACAGCATTTAATGAAAAATTTATACCGATGTTCTTTCATTTAAAATGTTGCTGCCACTGCTGTTGCTGTATGTTATTCCAATGACTACAACGACATATTGCAATAAACGAAAACGTCATGATCAGCAGCATCATCATCCTAGCAATGATCGCCATGCTACTACATCATCACTTCATCTTCCATTTTTTTACACACTCGCACAAGGCAAACAAAAATTACAAAAACAAAAAAATACACAGAAATTGTGGCAAAATGTCTTTCGATCTTTCAAAAATGAAAACTAAAGAAATGCTAAATGTACATAGGGGAACGATACCCAATGGAGAGAAATCGATTTTTTTTACTAATAATTGACAATTTTGTATTATATAAAAGATATATTCAAATTCCAATTGAAAAAAATGGAATGGGTTGGATTCAACCTGCGAATATTCTGGAATAAAATATGTAAGAATAAAGTCCTAAGGGAAACAAGAGCATTAATTAATAGAGTAGTTTACTAATTTAAATAAGATCTGTCTAACAACAGAGTTGACCAAATCGTACAAATTCTCACAAATTAAGTTTTTACTGTCTCCTCCGGTCCCATGTATATATGTTTGTTCGTACTTTGAAAGCTTAATTGTAACTTTTCAATTATGTTTATTTTATATTTAAACTAGTCAAAAGTAATTAAATTTCAAACATTTATTAGATATTTGCCCAAACAGAAAAACGAATTTTGAGTGTAATAGGTCAACTGATTCCCTGCTTATGCTTAATAAAATTAATATGATTACTTATAATTTTATTTGATTATAATGACTAAAGAAGTTGTGAATCCATTTTAAATAATTTATCTTGAAACCCCTATTTCGACTAATCTGTTGAGTTTTACATTCACAATGCATATCGGATATTTGTATTACCAGCAAAATCTACTTGCAAATATTCAAATCATCCCTATAGCCCTTCAGCAGTTCCATGATTCTAAAAATAACTTCAATCTCGACCACACACCCATACATAGTAAAGATTTTGTTCCCCTCTGTTAATACACAATACACATGCCTTACTTCCACACTTGCCATGTTGAAAATGCTTTTTAGTCTACGTTAAACACGGCCTTGTACTTTTTTTCCTTTTCCGCTTCCACTGTTTTCTATGCTTTGTGATATCAAGTGGAAAATGAAATAATAATAATGTGTTTAATAATTGCAAAATAACTAAGAGAAGATATAGACACTCAATTGAAATTGCTTTGATCCCCATAAAACAGGCAATAACAAAACAACATCGCTCCCCACATTGGCTGTATAATTTCTTTTTCTGATTGTTGTTTTTTTTTTTATTTGCTTCTCTGCTCTTTAGCATGTGGACAGACAGATAGGCATGTCTTGACTTTACAGTATTCAATATTTTGAAATTGTTGTTGTTTGAAATTACAGAACATGTTTTGTAAAATAAATTGCTTGGTTGCTTTACTGAAAAAAAAAAATTTTCTGTCAGTGTATATTTAGCATTTTACAAGTTATCTTGTAATTATTTCCATAATTAAGAAAAAAAATGAAACTGTAATTTTTGGTATTGGACATCCTTTTCACATGAACAACCTAGAAAGGTACTAAAGTAGCAAATTTATTGTGCAGGAATATATATTTATTTTTTTACATAACAGTTTCATAACTGTTATACACATATTAAAGCCGTTATATTTTAATGTGATATGTGTGTCAGAAATAAATTTTAAACAAATTCTTTAAGGTATTTAAATGTTGTATAACAGTTTCGAAAGTGTTATACAAACTAAAATCTGTTACAATGTCATTCATTTGGACAATTAGATTATATGTATAACACTTTTGAAATCTCTGAATCCTAATTGATCAACTTATATTCAAGAATTTTCCACTTTTTTCTCTAATTTCTAACATGTGATTAAACTTCTGATATCCACTTTTCGAAATTACATTTAACTAATGATTTTCCATGGAAATATAAAACAATTTCCTCAATCAGTTTATATTTAGAAGAAACCCCCTAATCTCTGACATAGAATTAAAGACAATCGAAGCAGCTCAATTCTCTGCCGACATCTAATCATACAACATGCATACAATGCATTTCAGTTTCGCCAGCTTGTTTTGAGAAATTTCTATAATCTCAGCAACTTGGAATAAACGAACGATGCAAAGTTACAGCCGCTATTACTACTAGCCTCTAACATGGTTTAATTTTGCTGTCACATTCCATCACTTTCTGCTTCAAATAGCACCTGGTTGGCTGACAGACTAGCTATTAGGTTAAACAAAAACAACACCAACAAACTGTCTATCTCCATGCTAAAGTTACTATTAGTTGTTGCCACTGCTCTGGGCTGTGTACATTTTTTTTGCTGTTGTCGTTGCTGCTGTTGTAAAAATGCAACAAAATGTTCATAAATTCTTTCAAATGGGGAGGTTTTTGATGAATATGTAACGTTTTGCACGTAAATTTGCAGTTAATTTTTGTGTGTGCATGTTTGTGCCGATTTTTTGTTTTTTGTTGTTGTTAATGTCTAGCTAGTTTCTCTAATAATTATTTTCCCATTAGCCACAGTTGTTAGATCTACACTTCAGGTGTTTTTCATTTGTGGTCGCATATCAACTGAATGCGTTTTACCTCCAACATTTGAGTGAATGCATTCAATTGTGATTGTGAATATTTTTTTTATTGGATCTATAAATTTGCGATTGTTAATCACGTAAATAATTACCAAACAAAATTGTTTACAAACGAATTAAAACCTGGAAAGGTTGTCAATGATTTATGACAATTTTAAATTTCATTCTATGGTTTTCTTGAACTTTGTCAATTAAATGTTTTATTCAAGTTTTCCATTTCATTTATAATATTATTTCCTCTTTTTCAATAATAATAAAAGAAAAAATAATTCGTGTGATTGTCTGTCAATAGGTCATGTCTTCTCACCTTTGTCAGTTGGATGTTTTTCTTTCATTTCCTTAGCTTCATAACCTACGTCTTCGTCTTGGCTCTGAGGGCAGACAATTGGAGGTATATTTTCATGATTTCCTTGCCAGTTTTCCAGTGAACTTAGAAAACCACAAAAACAATCGTCTATGACACCCAAGAAAAATTGTTAGTCATTATTTATAAGAGTTGTGCGTTCAAATTCATGCAGGTTTCCCCCAATTTTTTCCAACTGCTTCATTATTTATATTAAATAAAAAATCTACTATATTTTTGGAATCACTTCAGCTTGAATGAAATCAAGGGGAGAGGTGTCAGTGAAAGTATGTTTGGTTTGGAACAAATCCATAGGCTATGGCGATGGTGTGTACTCTTGTGTTTTCGTCATCGCCAGACTTTTTGGTGGGAGTTGAAATAGTTTTGGTGTTGTTTTTTTCTGTTTGTTTTGTTTGCATTATTATTGTGGGGGTTTTTCGCGTAGTGTTCATTTTCTCGCAGCACGCGGTCTCATTTAAGGAAACAAGCAAACTCAATGAACAGAAATACGTTTTGGAAATTTTTGGTCTGTGTTTTTGTTTTGTTATGTTATGTGCTTGTAGCATCGAATTTTATGTTTATTTGTTTTGACAAGTTGATGCGTTGAAATAAGCAGTCATTTAAATCATAAGTTTTCTTCTTAAATGTTAAAGAAGTAGATTTATTTACACTATGTTAAGATTTCCTATGATCGATTGTATGATAAATTGTTTCGAAATGAAATTCATTTAAAATCAGCATGGAAATTTCCCAAGAATAAATTGAGAGTAAAAGTAAATAAATACTGTATAACAGTTATCTTTACACATTAAATTTTTATTTAAAATAATTAGAATGAAATAAAAATTATTTTCAAGTAAAATAAATAATGTGAAAAATTTATGTATATAGAAATGAGCAACCCACGTATGAATTTGCAAAAAAAAAAAAAAAAAAAAAAATACCAAGTATCGGGGGGTAAGGTTATAAAGATGCTCTGGTTAAATGTAGAACTGTGTATATATTTTTCTAGCAGAAAAAATCCGCTGAACAATGTGCCTAAAATTATTAAAATGTGGAATGTAGGGAGGTACCATTATGTTTGAACTATATAGGCCATTTTAAATACCAACAATTCTATGAAACTAAAATAAATCTAACTATTACCAAAGAAATCTTGTTATAACGAGTAGTTAAAAATGGAATGACTAACTTAATATAGCCTCCAAACTAGGGTGGAGGATAAAAAAATAATAATTTTCGTGATTGAAATTTTTCATCTAATCACCTTTCGCCAAAAGTACGCATCAACAATTTTATTACTAATTCAAATTTTAAAAAAAAGATTCTTAAATTTTTTAATATGATTTTCGACGTTTATAAATATACATATGTGGTTATAACCATCTAGTCATACTTTTAATTTTGGATATAGTGGACTAAACTTGGAGGGCGATTTCCCAAATTCCCAGTCATTTTCCTATGGTTTCCAGGACAAATTATTCCGTGAAAATAATATTTACTGAGTACATGAATTTCATGTTAACAAACGTAGCCTGAAGCTCCCTTTACACGTAATAGCCCATTTTTTTAATAGAATATTTCAGTGCAAGCCCATGTTTAAATTATTTTCAATTTTATATTTCATTGACAAATATTTTCTTTTTAATAAAAAATTAATAAACAAAAAATCACATTCTTCTTGTACTTACTTTGACCCAGATGTACTCTCTTCATCCAGGGATATATTTGTGGAGGATTCTTCTTATTGCCACTATTTTGACTACTGCCCGCCTCATTGCCGCTATCACTCTCCGAGTCCGATTCACCTTCACCGGGACTGTGCATGGGTACGTTGACATTATTGCTATGATTGTTGTTTAGATTGACACCCAAAACACCCTTATTCAGAGATCTGGCAACGCTCTCCACAACCGATGATGGCGATAATTTGGGTGAGATATCTCTTGTCGATAGATCCTGGGGACTGGCCAATGATTGATTGTTATTTGTATTGCTGGAACTATTATTATTGCCGGTGGGTGTTTGAGGATCATTGGCATATTTACAGCTAATGTTGCCAGATTGTTGTTGCGGGTGTTGTTGTTGTCCTAATTGTTGCTGCTGCTGTTGTTGCTGTTGATTGACAGCCGACGCGTGGGCATTATGTTGCTGTTGCTGCTGCTGTTGTTGTTGCTGATGTTGCATCAGTAAACGTTGAGGTTGTAATTGTGTATAATCAACCATTTCGGGAGGTGTTGCCTGAGAACCAGCTCCACCACCACCGCCCGCACCTAAACTATAAGCTGCCTGATTGGCATAATGGGCCTGAGGTGTATTGGGATATAGATTTGGTGCATATGCAGCTGCGGCAGGAAAATAGTCATTACCCGGTGTGGCAGCACCAGAATTGGCGCTACCCGCACTACCGGCACCGGGTCCACCATTGCTGTTAGGTGTATTTGCACTGCCGCTAGGATTACCGGGATGGCCCTGTTGTGAGTTCATTTGTTGAGGGTAGCATGAGGCCAGCGAGTTGACAAACTGATACGAAGACATGGCAAAGCAATCGGGATCCATGATGGACGGTATTTTGTTGAAAATGTTGGCGGCTAGCAATTAGCCGTATTAAGGGAAGGAACCAAGTAAATAAGGAACCAGAAAGGTGATATGAAGATCTGTAAGAAAAAAAAGGATTTATGAATTTGTGAATCAAATTAAATTTTAGAAATTTTTATGTCATAACGACAATAGGAAATGTATTTATTGCATTGCTCCAAAACTGCAAGGAAATAAAAGTACCAAATTTGTATGATATCAAAAAAAAAAAAAAAATAAATAAATAAATAAATAAATAAATTGCAAAACTAGTAAAATCTTTCAGGTTATGGAACAATGATTATACGCTCTGTAATTCTTTATTTCTTCCCAAATATTTGTATTATAATATTTAAATATTTTGATTCGACACTCTGCATTTAATCAAATGCCCTCAAAATAAAATAAAAAAAAACTTTTGATAACCTGTGGCAACATTATTTTTTTAAAATTTTTATTTACACAATAATTTTCAAGAGCAAAAACCGATTTTTGATCAAACTGTTTATGAAAAGCAAAGAAAATGGTTATGTGCCACATAACGAAAATAAAACTTCATGTGTTTGGTAACCCAAAATCAGTTGCAAAAACTAGCCCTTAAGGGTTTTATATTGAACTGATAATATATCCGGTAAGTTCAACCTTCTTTCTATAATTCCAATGGCAATGAGGCTAAATTGCAAATTTCCTTTGGAACAATTGACTGGCTGGCTGGCTCACTTGGCTGTGCTGTGTTGTGCTGTGCTGTTAAAGTGGCAACATTTTTTTTGCCCTCATCACCACTAGCGGCTGGAATGAATGGCTGCTTGTTTAGTAGTTACGCTGGTATTGCAATGAAGTACTGAAGTACAAAGAATGCAAAAAACCGGTAAAGGACATAATTATCTTGACTTACGAAAAAAACGAATGTATGTATATCACATGCAACACTGTAAGAGTATAAATGTATGTATCTCCCGAAATAAGTGGGTAGTGCTGAAAAATAAAATGCCTCACGTTGAAGTTTAAGCATGCTCAAACTTAAAGATGGAGATTATTGTGGTTTCAAAAGAAATGGGTATACAAATATGAGCTTCATTGTTAGGAGGTGAATATATAAATGAAACAATTAACTTCGAGTTAAATCTGTTAGCAATTTTGTTTTCTCAGTACATTTTATATTTCACTAATAAATTTGAGAGAATTAAAAAAACTCAGCGTTTATTTAATCGCATTTACTCTAGTATAAAGCTTTTGTAAACTATTATAAAATGTAACATTAAGCCAAATATTGATAGAACTGAAAGCCAATGACTTCTGAGTAGTTGTTGCAATTTTATAAAAGTTTACAAACTGTTATACAACTGTTATACCTGTGCAATTGTTAAATAAAAATGACTTTGGGATTTGTTAAATTTGGTTTATTGGTATAACAGTTTACAGTGTTATAAACTGCTGCACGAATTGCATATTGAGGTAGAAGAGGTTTTTTAATATAACATTTTTTTAGAGATATATGGAGAGCTGAGATTCTTAATTTTAGGATATCGGAAATATATTTAATGCTAAGGCAATTCAATTTTATAAAGCTTTATTTCGTAAAATCTGTTTTATGCCCTTATATAGTTCATCTCGTGCTCACAAACATATGCATGTGCCACATACATAATACCTTGTAGATATTTGGACGTGGAACAATACATAAAACAACAAAAGCTTAAAATAACAGCAACATGAAAACTTATTAACTTGCAGCAACAACAAAATGTTACGACCAACAAAAACTAAAACAAAACTTAAGATTTTTAGCCAGAACAAAAAAAAAAATGAAAATAACAACACTGAACATAATGTAAGAGTTCAAGTCAACCATGCAGCACACAATAACATTGACCACAAAAACCCAAGCACGTGAAACCCATAATTTCGAACCAGTGGGCAATTTAACCCTTTAGCATATTTTTTGTTCAGAAAGAGAAAAAAACAAAATAAAAAAGAAGGGCCTCCAAAATGAGAGGTAAGATAGAATATAATACCAGTTGTTTGAATGCCTCCCAAAACAGAATTTAAATATGAAAATATTTTTGTTGCAATCTTGGTTGGAAATTTTAAAACAACACCATTCTTATGAATTTACATACATATTACAATAATTCTTGTAACAAATTTGCAATAAATTCCAGTTTTTTTGCGGGCGATTGAAGAAATCTTTCTGATCTCGTCTTAAACACAGCTATGGAAAAACATTGATTTTTTCCTTATTCTTGCTTTTGTCTGGCTCTTAACGAAGCGGGAGATGGCGAATTTTTTATGAACATAGTTTGCTTTTGGTTGCCCACTTTTTTCTCGATATTGGAACACAATTGGTTTTTAGCAACAAACAGAAAAAAAATCAATATAACCGCTAAAATAACATACAACAACAAGCCGCCTAACTAACTTGTGGCAGACAGCGAAGCAAGAAAGCTTTGGAAAATGGAACGTTGTTATGGCTGCTACTTTGGATAGTGTTCTTGTTCTTGGCATTTGTTGCCGTTGTTATTATTGTTGCTGTTCAGTTATTGTCTTGCATGAGGAGGTACAAGGTTTTTGACCTGCTAGCATTTCCAATCTACACTACAATTACGTAACCTGTATGGGTATTTTGTCGAAACCACCTCATCGGCCGGACTAACGAAGGAAATTTCGTTGGTAATTTTTAAGGTCATAATCACAAACGCATTTGCAATCTTCTGCAGTGGTTAAGTCTACAATTTAAAGTTTGTTAAAATTAAATGGAATTAAGGATTTTAATTTTGTTAGTTAACCACAAACTAAGTAGATTATTATTATACAGAACTGGGTAATCACGTACAATTGTTTTTCGTCTTCAATTTAAGTCAAGATATATATTAAATTTTGATAGGCAATCATGTTAAGGGTAAAACAACAATGATTGAGATAATACATTTATTTGATTGACTAAACGAAAACATAACATTTATGTTATGTTTTTAAGTCATTTAAGGTCAATTGAAATGATGTTTTTGTATAGTATAACAGTTTTATGAGATTACAAAATCATCCGAAGATTTTAAACAGTGCGTCTTAAAGTTGTTATATAATTTTATACAGTTTGAAAGATATATATAACAGTTTGATAAATATATAATTCCTAAAACCTATTTTTACTATCACATATAGTATTTTTCTCACATTTATAGAAATTTAAAACTGTTATACACATTAATATTGTTAAATTTTATAAAAATCTCAATGTGTATATGGTTTGATTCCAGAATAAATTGTGTTTTTACATTTTGATAAATCAAACAATTTGTCAAATTTGATTGCGGCTAAAAGTTTTAAATCACAAATTTTGAAAATATTCTGGATATACATACATATTTTAATTCACTTGCCATGACTGCTGACATTTTTGGTGAACCAAAAACAAAAGTATTCAAAAAACAATAAATATTTTTCGACAGACCAAAGAAACGAAACAACAATTGACTCAACACATAAATTATATCCGCGACGATTGTCTACTTCAAATACAAAAAATGCAAAAAGTCCAATGTCGAAAGAAACGATGGCAGAGCAGTGGGTTCTTTGAAACAAAAACCAAAAAAATGTTCAGCATTCAGTGTGTGTGTTAAATATTTTGGTTAATTTGTTGTTGTCTCCTCTAAATGCCAAAATGACATGCAGTTCAATTGGTGTTAATTAAATCCATGAATATTTAAAAAAGAAGAATATACCCAGCAGTGAAAACAAAAACAAACCCCTTTAAGTTAAAATAGCAAAATTCACACAAACGCACACACATTTAAAAAAGAACATAACAAGTAGAAATTCATTTTTGGCGCTTTTCGTATTCACAAAAACAAAAAAAAATCATTGAAGTATTTCATTAGAGAAACCAACTGGCTACGACGCAACGTAGGGCACAGAGAACAAGCATCGTCAAATAGCAATGATCAACATTTGTGTGATGTTATTTGGCTCAGTTGATGATGATATGTTTGTGTGTGATCATGTCTTTCAAAAATTTGTTGCTGTCTGGCTGAGTGAGTGCTCTAAGAGGCCGGCAGTGTTGCCGTCGTTGCTGCAGCGGCTACGGCTGTCGCTGGTGTCTATGTCACCAATGACGCTGACGATGATTGTCTTTTTAGGAAAGGCCATAAATTATAACAATTCTTTGTCTACTTTCAAATGTGACACATACTCATAGAAGACCACAAGACTAAACGCAAATAAAAAAGTCGGCCAAAGGCAAATAAAATGGTACAATAAAACTTTAATCTCAAGAGAAGCAAAAGTTATGGGAAATTTTTTGGTGTTTTGGCGAATTTGGAAAGGTTATGTTTTGATTGATTTGCAAATCGCCAAATGCGAATTCTCAGAAAGTGTGTGAGGGGAAGGAAGTGGGGAATGCCTGAGAAAAAATAAATATAGAGAGAAAGATTTCCTTTAAATTATTTTTAACGCCAAGTGCTGTGACAAGCATCAAAAGTTGCAATTTTCAAAAGAATTTGAACTTTTAAAATCCTATTGCGGTGTTGCAAATTGTAGTTAGTATTTGAAAAATTGTCCACCTTTTATTAGAGTTTTTAATGCAAAAAATTTGTTACTCCTGTAAATCTCTAACGAAAATTACTGTCAAAGCAACAATGAGCAATAAAACAGCTGAGAAAGTCAAAAACAAATTTAAATTTTTAAGGGAAAAATCAGTTATTTGGTAATAAAATACAATATTGAATGGATGTGTAATCGAAAAAAAAGGATTAAAATATTTTTAATTATTGCCTTAAATTTTACAATAGTTTCCCATTTTGTGCTATCGAACAATATTTTGTAGTAGTTTGTTAAAATTAAATATTAAATTTGTCATTCTGTTTGTAACACCTTTAAATATTTGTCGTGGTCACTTTATGTGGTATATATGAATTCATGATCATTATAAAATGTTAAAATCATTATACAGCCCGCATTACTTGGCGTATAGCTTTAAAATTTGGCACTACACAACTTGTATTGTGTCTAGAATGGTTGGTATTGAAAATGATATATAGCCGTCCACATGTTATAGTACCCACAAAACGGTATCTCCCCAAAA